CATCTCAGTCTTCCTACTATGACTTCCTTGCCAGGCTGGAAACTACCCTTAGGGTATGAGCCAAAATAAATCCTTAGCTGCTGATGTCAGGTGTTTTGTTTCAAAAACTAGAAAAACAACTAATACTGAAGGATAGATGAAATGAGAGGGGGTGGATTTCAATGTTCTGCTCTACGGAAGGAACAACTACAGGTAATAATAACTTACTAGAAATTGCATCAATAATGAGAAAATAGAAACTCAAGACTTCCCAACATAAAGAAATCTTTAAGAATATGTAAATCCTTTTCATTGCATTTGGTCATTACATGTATATGCATATTGAATTACCACACTGCATCCCAGAAATACGTACAAATATTATATGCCAATTAAAATCTTTGTCAACAGAGGAAGGAATGGAGGGTAGGAGGAAGGGAGGGAGGAAGGGAGGGTGGGAGGGAGGGAGGAAGGGAGGAAACTAGCAACAAAACTGAAACAGATCAAGGCTGCAAAGCACACTTGGGAGTGGCATAATTCATTTGTGAAGCCCGGGAACAGATGATCAGACAGGGAGTGTGACAAGAAGAGACAAGTAAGGGAACACTTTAGGAACTGCACTACTCCCCTTATCTATTTTCTGCCTTGATTTTACTTTTTCTTCATACCACAGACATATACATAAAGTATGTAACATATTTTTCTTATAAAGCCATAATTTAAAGTTTAGTTCATTTGATACTTCTTTTATCAGTCTCAAATCTTCATGAAGGGAAGTTATTTTCCTTACCTATGATACTACTTAGGGTATTCCCTCAAGATCAGAGGTGGAGAAGGTAAGGGCACCAGTTGCCTATAGACGTAGAACTGGTTAGTTTGTCTTTTATTGGTGTGTGTGTGTGTGTGTGTGTGTGTGTGTACATTTGAATGTAAATATATACAGGTGCACACGTGCATGTGGATATATGTATTCATGTGTGCACATGCATATAGAGGCCAGAGGACCATCGGGATGTCATCTTCAGGAGCCATTCCCTTGGGGAACAGCTTCTCTCACTGCCATGGAACTCACTAGGTAGTCTAGGCTGACTGGCCTGCAAGCCTCAGGACTCTGACTGTCTCTGCCTCCCCAGAGCTGTTATTACCAGGTTTGTGGCTTTAAAAAAAAAGTGACTTCTGAGGTTCTCTGGGGATGGAACTCGGGTCATTAGCTTGAAAGACAAGTCCTTTACTGGGTAAGCTATCTCCCATATTTTTTTACAGGCTACAACAGAATTCTCATTGGGCAGAGGCAGTCGAAGGGCCTCTTTATTCATCTTTACTGGCTGGGCTCTGATCCCTGTGCACTTCCTTTATAAACCACAAAAGCATTTGAGAACTGAACAACCATTCTTCTACATTGAGAGTAAATCAATGGCTAACCAAAGTAGACAAAGCATGCTGGACTATAATACAACAACAACAACAACAACAACAACAACAACAATAACAACAACAAAACTATAGAGAAGCCAGGCATTGGTGGTGCACACCTTAATCCCAGCACTCAGGAGGCAGAGGCAGGCCAATCGCTGTGAGTTCGAGGCCAGCCTGGTCTCCAGAGCGAGTGCTAGGATAGGCTCCAAAGCAACACAGAGAAACCCTGTCTCAAAAGAACAAAAACAAACAAACAAACAAAAACAAACAACAACAACAAAAAACCTATAGGGAAAAAGCTGCCAAATGAGAAAAAATGGGACACAGCTATTTTAGGGAAAAGTCACAAGAGGCCACACAAGTACCTTCACTACTTAGCTTTAATCCAAAGTTATTCCTCCAAAGAAAATACCTAGCTAGACGGCATGTTCCCCGGTCACTGTGAAGTTTTCTTCCACTTTCCACATTTAGGACTTAAGTACTACATGTGCCACTATGAAGATTTTTAAGTGGTGCCATTCTGAGCACTAAGATTTATTAAAAATACAGAAGACAAATTTCTATGTGAGGTTAATAGTAGATTTTTCTGTCAACAAATATAAGCCATATTTTAGAATAATAACTTTTTCCTTAAGTTAGTAGAGAACTGACTTAATGAGGTTTCTGTGTTTAGCTTTGGGCCTGGGAGAATCCCCAATAACATCTAGATGGTTCACACGAAGCTTGAAAATTGTTTAAAGAATATTCTCGTAGATGGCATTCTGCCATCTATTTCACCTATGCTTTTCACCCTGGATTTCTGTTTTGTTTTTAAGATTTTTTAATAATAATTTAGTGCTTATGGAAAAGGCCACATTAAGAGAAGAAACTAACCATTTGATGTGGAAGTTTCTATCATAGAGAGTCCAGTTTTTGGCAAATTTGAAGGTTGTCGAGCGTTGTATATATGCTAATACATTTTTCTTCTCTACCCTGAAAGCTGAGCTGAAGCTATCATTGTCACCTTAAAATTTATTGTCACTATCAAAATACACAAACATGTCTTATCCCATAATGTAAATATAATTTAACTGATCAAAGAATTGGAAATGCCTGAATTCAAGACTTTTCAATTTATGTTATTATTGACTCTTCCATATTATTCTTGAATTCTGTCCCACTTACAACAATATTCCAGGTCATCATTCAGGCTGCCATAGAGTGGAGGACAGCAACAAAGACCCGAGTTATCCATTATTACATTTAGTTTTAACTGTAAACTGTTGACAACCTCACCAAGTCCAGAACTGAAACCCTAGCCTCGCCCTCAGATTTGCTAGATTTTATTTTTAGATGTAATCACTTCCCTCCGGTAAATGGTTAGTGACCACACACACAGGTCTGCACATGAGGAAACTAAAAAGGGAACCTTGCACCGTGAATCAGACACACAAGACACGACACAAGGAAAGTCTCCTGCCAGGCCAGGCCCAGTGTGTCATATTCTCCAACTGTCCCTGTGATGGTACTGTGCTGACATTTTTAATTAATGTAAATGGTATTTGAGGTGAAGCAATTTCCGTGGCATGTTCTGAATGCACGTATCGCTCTACAGTCACCCTCTACCAAATGGCAAGAGAAAACGTGGTGTGTTTTTCTTATTACTTCCCTTTAGTGCTGCATGTTTTGTGAATCTTATTACAATTAAGCTTCTTAGAAAGAAAAGTCTTTCAAAGAAACTAATTCAGTAAGAAATTTGGGGCTAGAATACATTTGGATATTTATAAACAACAATGTAACTTGATCAAAGAACTGTGATATTCAATGCAAAAAGTAAAATCTTCAGAGGAATTCCAAAATATGGATGTTTGGTTATGTAAAATTATGGAAAACTATTCTGGGGATATTCAGTAGATAGTGCTGTTATGGTTAATAGCTAACACTTTCTGTATTTGTATGGAAAAGTGTATTTTACTATACTCTTTAACAAAGTGGAGACCATAATAAGTGTTCTTCTTACAATAAATAAGCTATTAAAGCTAGAGATTAAAATAAAATAACAGAAGATAAACAGCTAAGGAGTAGATCAGAAAGAAAATAAAAAGGCATTTAATTATCCCAAAAGTGAGTATTTCCCCAAGTGCATTCCCCAGTCATCCAGTATTAGATTCAACCGGTTGACTTGTCAAAGACACAAAGATCTGAATGTACCATGGCTTTAACAGCAAAGCGGAATCTCTGCTTGACAGGCAGGAATCAGTACCTGCTGTGATTCTTGCCCTTGCTAAAACCAGATTCATGTGTGTAGATTCTTCCAATCATGCTTCCATTCCAAGCCATTCCTAAATACCAGCATGGCAAAATAAAAAAAAAAAAACAACAAAAAAAAAAACCTTGCACCACTCACTAAAGATTTATCATCCCTTCTAGGTAAAGGAAAGGAAGCCCACCTACCCTTGTGAAACTGCAAAACACAGCACCTCCTCCTCTTCCTAAAGAAACATTCATTTAGGAGAGCAGATTTTCAGAATGTAGTTGCTCTCCCTAAGTAACCTTTTTCTTTAACATGGCTGCACTTGTTAGGCATCACTGCTTATTATCTCTCACCAAAGAAAAGGCACTTTCCCCCAAGACTATGTGACAAGCACAGAGTATCATAAATACACGAATAGCATATTTCAATTCTCATGTAGACTGTTTTAGGAAATGGGCTTCCTCTAAAATTATTGACAAATAATCAAGATGATCCAAGCTTTGTTAAAGTCTTGTGAGTTTTTTTCTCTCTGTGTGTATATAAACTCAAAAGCCTCTGTGAGAGGGAAGTTGTACCTATTCATCAAAACTATTAAGAAATACTCAAGAGAATATACACAGAGAGATTCAGTCTTCAGATCTCTGGGTACATCACCCTATGGGATTATTGTCAGAGTACATCTCACATGATCTTTCCTTAGCAAATGACCTTACATATGCACTTCAGCTTTGCAATACAAAGTACTTGTAGGTTAATAATATATACAGGCACAATTCATTTTAAAAGTCAATGATAAAAATGAATGCTTCAAATTGCTTGGAAAGACCATTGGGGATGTCTAAAAGACAATTCGTAAATTTAACTATTGATAATAAATGTTATCTATAGGATACTGGAAAGATGTGTTCACCCTTTGTTTCTCTCATCTGAGACACCACAAAGCTGAATATAATTAAACTCTATTTCTTTTCACATTTCAGAGGCTATTTTTCACTTTTTCTTAATGAAGAATAGACATGTCCTTGCTAATCCTAATTAGTGGTGAGTTTTTAGACATAACTTGAACAAATAATTCTTAGAGGCTAAACTGTAAGATAATATCATGTATATGCACAGAGAAATGCATTATATAACCACATTTACAAGTTCCAATTACAGAAAAAGTTAGATGACCTGCATGTGAAAATTTTGACGTTCATCACGGGCACTTTGTGAAGGTCAGTGATAGAAAACAATGATTCCTCTTTTCTGTATCAGTAAATCTAATCTGTAGCCTCTCCAACCTTAACAAGATTTGCTTTGATGGATTTTTTAAATGATGTTAGGACTATAGATAACATTTATCAATCAAGTAGAGAGGTGACCCACTTACCTGGCTTTTCCCTGACTGTCACACAAACGGAAGCAGGAAGCAAGAACATTGCCACACAAGTCCACAGTTTCCAAAGGCCAGTGTGCCTCATCATGCCTTGAAATCATGGGAACAAATGGCCACAAATCTGTAATGGCAGAAGCATTCAAGTTGAGATTTTGTACACTGCTCCATCACAGCCACAAAATCAGCAGCAGCAAAGAGAAAGGAATCGATTTGTATATATCACATAATTATATATTAGGGTATAAGATGCTCTAATATGCAACTGAGTGTTTCAATACACATTTTAATCTTTATGATGCTCAGGAAATATTTCGAGATTTCTTCTTAGTTATTTATTCAATTAATTACTCATGATGACAGATTCTTATCCCTTAAAATCCCCCACCTTTTCAGTGGTTTTAAAGCCATACCACTCAAATGATTTTTTATTTTAAAAATTGTAGTAAAATATATTGTAATATAAAATTCATATTTTGACTATATCTGGGTGTGCATTGTCCGTGTAATTAAGTTTGTTGCCATTGCTTTGCAACCCCCACTCTCTTCCATCTCAACAATTCTTGTCAGTTCACAGAGCTAGGTATCTATCTATCTGTGACTATTAAGTAAGACTTTCCATCTCATTGTCTGCAAATCTTCAATTATCATTCTACATTCCCTGCTACAAATTTAACTACTATAGCTAACTATTAACTATTATAACCTTAATATGCAGAATCATTCCACTTTTGTTTTCTGGTGACTTTACTTGATATAATATCTTTGGTGATGGTGTGTGTGTGTGTGTGTGTGTGTGTGTGTGTGTGTGTGTGTCTACAGTTATGTGCTTATGGATGCACATATACATGTGTAGTGTCACTCCTCAGGAGCCACCTGCCTTGCTTTTTAAGACCAGGTCCCAGCACTCGGGAGGCAGAGGCAGGAAGATCTCTGTGAGTTCGAGACCAGCCTGGTCTACAAGAGTGAGTTCCAGGACAGCCTCCAAAACAATACAGAGAAACCCTGTCTCAAAAAACCAAAGAAAAAAAGACAAGATGCCTCATGCACATCACTTTCTTTGGCTAGAGAAGGCTGGCCGGTCAGCAAGCTCTCTTTCCCAGAACTGGGTTTACATATACACACCACCACATCCAGTATTTTTTTTTATTTGAATTACAAACAAGATTGAATTACATGCCAATCCCAGTTCCCTTCTCCCTCCCTTCCTCCCCTACCACCCCCCAACTAAAACCCTACCTATCACATATCCTTTCTTCTAATCTACACCTGACTCAACCTTTCTGCTTCCTCATGACCTCTGCCTCCTTCCTTTTCTTCCCTTCTCATTCTTGTAGCTCCCTCCCCCTCTTCCCATGTTCTCCATTTGCTCAGGGGATGGTGACTCTATCCCCTTCTCCAGGGGATAATGTTTGTCTCTTTTAGGGTCCTCCTCGTTTACTAGCCTCTCTGGCAGTGTGGATTGTAGGCTGATAATCCCTTATTCTATGTCTAAAATACACATATGAGTGAGTACATAACGTTTGTCTTTTTGTGATTGGGTCACCTCACTCAGAATGGTTTCTTCAAGTTCCATCCATTTTCCTGCAAATTTCAAGATTCCATTGTTTTTTTCTGCTGAGTAGTTCACACCCAGTATTTTTATGTGAATTCTGGGCATTAGTTTCTGGTCTTGATGTTTGTACACCAATCATTAACTGGCTAAGCTCTTTCCCAGCCAATAGTATAAAGTCCTAAAAGTTCATTTATATTGAGACATGTGTTAGAATTTTCTCTTGTTTGGGGGCTAGATGACACTTCACTGTTCCCAAATGTACATTTGTTCACCATCCATCCGTGGACATTAATTTGTTCCCATCTCTAGGCTGTTGTGAACACTTGTTGTGAGCACAGATATAGGTTCTCTTAGGTATATACTCAAAGAAGAAAATGCTACATGAATTATATGGTTCTATTTTTAATTTCCTGAGGAACCACCATGCTGTTTTTCCATAGCACCCACACTATTCACACTTCCATTAGTAAGGTGTGCTGGTTTTTCTGTATTCTATGTTATACTTGTTTTCTTTCTTTATGATTGATACCATACTAATTGGGTGTTAGAGGGTGGCTCATTATGGTTTTGATCTGTATTTTCCTGAGTATTAGTGATACTAAAATGTTTATGTATATTATAGCCATTTGTATGTCTTCTGTGGAGGATGGCACTCAGATACTTTCTCTGTTTTTAGTAGTTACCAGTTGTTATGTTTTCATGTACTCTGAATTTTGACCCTTTATCAGCTTATAATTAGTAAATGTTCTCTCTTATTTCATGGAGTTCCTTTCAGCCTACTGACTATCCTTTCACACACAGACTTTTAAGTACAATTTATTGTATTCTTTTATTTATTGCCTATATATTTGGTATAAAATACCTTGATTCCTAATTTTTAACACAATTTTACCTTTCATGGTTCTGTCTGAAAATATTATATTTATATGTTATGACTTAATTGACATCATCATACCTTACATGAACTATTTTGTTATTGAATTGAGTTCCACTCCTAAAATTACTGCACAGAGGCAACCTTCATTCCCTTTAAAAGGAAACATCTACATGCAATGCCTATTGTACTTTTTTTAATATTCTGTTAACATCATCATTGCCTTTAAGAATTTATAGTCCTCCTCTACAGGTTATTACAATGATAAATTCAGCAGATAAAATCTATAGAGAGCCTGGAGAGTTTGCTCAGTGCTTAAGAGGACTTGGGTTTGATTCCCAACATCCACAAGGCAGCTCACATTGACCTGTAACTCCAATCCCAGGTGATCTGATGCCTTATTCTTTCCTCCATGGGCATCAAGCATGTGTATCCTATACACATACAAAATAATGCAAAATAAAATAAAATATTTTAGATCTTTACAACAAAAACTAACATTGTTTAAACTAAACTTACTGTAGCAAATTAGATAAAATTGAAAGGAAAAATGTACTGGATCCCTCAATTTTATTTAACAATTATACTTTTATTAGAAATAGCTCTTCAAGAGTCATAAATCACTTATTTGCCATTATTTACCATTTAATAAAGAACCAATCATGAAAGAATTCATCACAAAAATGTTTAACTCTTGTCAATAGACTCTCTTTAGAGAACAATAAGCCCACCATCTTTGATATTCTCAAACACATGCCGAATACTCAGTTCAGCATTTTAAAATTAATTCAAGATTTTGGATATTTCTGGTTGAATAGCTAGAGGCAGCAATTGCAATATTAAAATTGAATGTGTGGTTCTAAATATCAAACATCTGGTCTTATGTCTTATTTATTTTGAATTCTAGATACAGATGTAGTCCTGATCCTCATATGACATTGAAAATTGATCACAGCTATTATTTCATGTCTGTTAGTAACTGTTAAATGAATTCTAGTTCAGATAAATTCTATATCAAATTTTGATCTAATAGTCAGAGAGATCTGTGATTGTGTTTTAACTGGGGTGATTTCTTTCAGTCAATCAATTAGCACTGAAACATAATAGTTGGCTTCCTATGTGAGTTCTGCAACTTGTACACAAGTTATGGAACATTTTTAAGTCTGGATTCATTCACCTGAAAGCTAGGATCATGGGCATTGAACCATGGTCTCTGAAGTTGTCTGCTGCTGTATCCACTAAAGAATAATTAGTCTAATCTTCAGTTACACTTATGACTTCCACTCAGGTTGATTTGATAATGAAAAGTACAAGTGTTAAATGGTTTTAGAAATTCATTTTCCTCAAAACATTGGTTCCTGTTACAACAACAAAGAGCTAGAGAGCTGTAAAGTCCAAAGCACATGAAGTTGGTCTTGATATCTCCCAACAATTTCCTTGAGACACTCAGAGGATAACAGAACTTAGCGTTAACCTTATCTATCCACAGTGCTCTATACAGTATAAGACTGTATGATTAGTTGATCAAATGTTTAAGTTCTTGAACCCCCTACCACTGTCTCTCAATGAGATCAGCAGGAATTTACACAAGAATCCATTCACTCTCCATACTAATTCAATCCTTTCTGAATTTCCAATAGCCAAGCCCTCATCCTCCTGTAAACACTCATTGCGTTCCCTAACTTCACATTACCTAGAATCCCTTCTAACCTCCCTATAGATCCATTGTTTCCTACTTGACTTTTTCTATCTGTCTTCCGACTTACCTATCATCTATATATGTATCTTTCATATATATATATATATGTGTGTGTGTGTGTGTGTGTGTGTGTGTGTGTGTATGAAATATATATATATATACCTATCTCTCTTCTATCCAGTTGGATACCTCATTTCCATCTTCTGCTTCCTTATCTCACCAGCATATATTTTCTAGATTTTTTAAAAAAGTTATGTGGGAGGTATTTTCTGGGCTTACCCCAATAAAATTGCCATGGAAAGAACTTCCCAATATCTTTCTGAGTCTGTCCTGTCTTTTTTCCCTGTCACTGTCTCCAGACACAAGCTAAGCTCAAGCTGCTGGTTGCTGCCGTTAAGTTTACCACTGTCTCCCTCCAAACCTTCTATCAGAATGTGACGGTTTTCTATCTGTTCCCCCAGGACTATGATTATCAAGACAGCTTTATAAATTAAATTAAGCCAATGTTATCAAGACTTAGTGCTTCAGCTCTTCATAGCTGAAGTTAAGCTTTAAGATAGATGCCCAGTGCCTTCCCAGTTCAGTGACTAATGTAGATCCACAAGACAATGTATGCAGAGGCTGATGTTTCCTAACACCCTGGAATGGCTTTCTGAAAAACCTGTAAAAAGCTGTCTACAGCACATTTTTAATAAAGGTATAGAAAACATTGGGTGGTCTCATTTTCTAAAATGAAACATCATTTGTGTGTAGTATTTATTTTAATATTCATTGCTCAGAAATAAACTATGCCTGCTTCTAATATTTACAGGGGACAAAGTAAAACGTCTGTGTAATATATACCTAAATATTTGACTAAAAGATTTTAAAGAAAGTAGGAACATTGATTTCAAAGCACACATTTTTTTTTCCTTTTACACAAGGAAAGACCTTGGGCTGGCCAGATAGTTCAGTCAGTAA